ACTCCGGGTCACACTCAGCTGGAGCGAAGGTGAGTCTCCACAGGAGACTGAACCCACAGCCCAGAGTCACACCAGAGCTTGACCCCTAGCCAGCTGTGTGACTCTTAGGTAATCAATCACCCTCATCTCTGTTTCAGGCCCTCTTCTGGAAGAAGGGGGTGAGAACAGAGTCTGCAAACAAGAAATACGATGGTGAGCAAGAAACAGCTCCTGCCCTCAAGAGCCTAATTAATAATTGGCAGGCCAGGCTGAAATACTGGCCACTAGTCATTCTCATTGACGTCAATATTTATTGATTGATTGTCTACGCCATGCAAAGGCCACAAGTACAGTGGTTGGGGACTGGGAGGAGGACGCCTAAGGGACTTTTTTTCCCTGACCATTGGGTTAGTGTTTGGGCATGTTGACTAAGCTTGGCTTCTAGTATAAAATTTATTAGTATTTCATGGGTTACCTTGAAAACGAAAGCTGATATTTAAACAATAACTATTTATTGGATCAATCTCTAAAACAGCGGTTCTCAACCTGTGGGTGGCGACCCCTTTGGGGGTCGAACGACCCTTTCACAGGGGTCGCCTAAGACCATCGGAAAACACATATATAATTACATTACGATTCATAACAGTTGCAAAATTACAGTTATGAAGTAGCAACGAAAATAATTTTATGGTTGGGGGTCACTACAACATGAGGAACTGTATTAAAGGGTCACGGCATTAGGAAGGTTGAGAACCACTGCTCTAAAAAGTAACCTCCTCCCAAGTGCCCAACCCCTTACTCGATCATTAAAACTGACCAGACACCAGTGCTATCTTAACTTAATACTTTCTTAAGAGAGGCAAATGGATGTTTAGACAATAGAGGCTGTCCTTCCTCTCTTCCTCTTTCTAGTCCTAGTCCCAGGCCTTTCGAGTTCTCTGCAGGGTTCATAAATCTTAACCCATGCTCTAAACCTCTCTTAAAGGTGGCCACCCGCCCACAGTTCTTTGTATGAGGCACTTGCCAGTTGGTGTCTTTCTGGGTTTCCTCCTGGGCTCTCCTGCTGGTCTATGAGCTCTTGGAGGAAGTGGCCTATTTTATACTCTTGGCATCTGCCACAGCTCCTACCGCAGCTGCCCGGAGGAGCCATGCATTCAAAATCCACTGGTCACTGGTTCTTTGTTCTTCCTTCAATTGCTGCAGAAGTTTCCAAACTGGTAGCCCTGTCCCAATCTCTCCCTTTATGTCAAATCTATTACAGCTACAATAGTAGGATAATCTTAACTTCATTTTCATTACCTCTTTTCTTCTCTCAAAAAAACTCATAATGACCCTAATAGGACTTAAGACTTTACTGGCTTTATCTAGCTGACTTTATACCTCAGTATGTTCTGGTCTAGGATAAAGCCACCAAATCTAGCATATAGCTCAATGCTGCAGTAGCTATCCAGGGGCATAGCACCCAGAGCTACCAAGTATTTCTAGAATAAATGACTGAATTGCCGTTTCAATAACCCTCTTTCTTCCTCTTTTGCACATATCTTTCCTAGTCCTACTTTTATGTCTCCACAGGTAACATTTCACCAGTTTGAAGAAAGTGTCTCCTGCCAGATGAAGATGTTTAAGGCATTTGTTCTCACTCACTTCTTTCATGAAATCTTCTGAGATCAGCCAGTTAAAAATCTAGTCATTTAAAGCAGCAACTGCTCAAATACTTGTGCTTATCTAGTTTTCTGTTGTAGGGGATGCAATTCAAGGCCAAAGATGGTATCTACTGCCTCTTTGTCATTCTCAGCCCTCAGGGAGAGCCCTCTGTGTACAGTGAATCCTGACTAAGCGCTGTAGTAAAGTCCCTCCGATGCATTACTCGTAAAGGGCATTCACGAGCTCTAAATAAAACAATAACTATAAATTAATGCTTTAGACACAGAGATTAGTAGTTTTGTTTAATAATTTGAAACATATATACTACTAGGATTTTGAATTTAAAGAGGTTACCTTCCCCACAAAAAATTTTGCTAGCTATAGTTTCCATGTCTATAGGGTTAACATATTTCAGGAAATTTCTCCCCCCCACCCCGCTCAGTGTTGCCTTATCATAGCAAAAGAAAAGAATAATTCGCAATAAAAAGATAAAGTTCATACACAGAATGACTCCAAAATAAGGTGACTTTTCAGCTTGTCTGACCTACTAAACTGCTGCACAGCCACTTGGGAGGGCAAAGGTCAGGGGTGCACCTTAGAGAAGTCACTGAACAAACAGCGGGGATGCCCTAGAGAGAAGGAAAGCACAGGCAGAGGTCCGCGTCCTGCTTAGCAAGCATGCTTCAGGGTTGTTTGGAAAATGGTAGTTTTTTCCTGAAGACCCAGACTATTTTTCTGACTCTTCGTATTTTACCCAGTCAGTATAAACACTCACCTCCACAAATATGTCAGAGAAACACAAAAGATATGATGGCTGTTTTTCTGCAAGCCATCCCAAATGCAGCAGGTCACAGAGCGATGCTCCCTGCAGAGTGGTCCAACAGCTCTGTCTGAATGAGCAGCTCTGAGGTCACCAGTCCACTTGAAACCCAATGTGTGGAATAGTGGTTTCCATCACTATAATCACAGACCAGATGAAATCTGCTGGCCAAAATCTAAAAGACTCCATGACTAGCCTAAACATACAACTATCTTCTGACTGGCAAAAAAAGTTATTTTCTGTATTAGATATTGAAATTATATAATTATAACTAATAATTTTAGCTTGAATTTTTGGAAGTAAGTGTATTAGGTTTATGAGAAGTATATTTTGTTATAGTTTATGTGAGTTGCTAAGAAATACTGTACTTTGGGGGGGGGGGAAGAAAGACAGACAATTTGTGTTTACTGGGCCACAGATGGATGACTGACTGACAATGGATAATATCACAATTATAACACCCAGCATTCCAAAACTATTTAATAAAATTGTTTTGAAGCAATATAGCTTCCAAAAGAAAAGAAAATCTAAATAAATATTTGGATGGCCGCATACCAAAATAACGTTAAACATATAAGATAAAGAAATTAATCCCAAGTTAAAAAAGGGCATCAGATATTTACTCACCAACTATAAAAGGAATGGCTTTCAAAAGTTTGTAAATGAATTATTTGAAACACACAGTGCATTTCCCATGGAAAAAAGGTTTCCTATGGCAATGTTGTAGTTAGTAGTAAAGCTTTCAGTGTTACCCACAAACACTCCATTAAATGTTACCAGGTACACATGATAGAAGAACATGAACTTTACAGAGTCAGAGACCCCTGGGTTCCAGTCCTGGCTGCGGTACTTCCACAGGAAGCTATGTCCCACCGTCTCCAGCAGGAAGAGCGTCTCCCGGAGCGGAGCAGGAGACCTGCCCATGGCAAGGCTGTCCCACCCCGAGAGCCTGCTGGTGACCCCGTGTGCTCAGGTGGAAGGCTCGCCTGCAGAGTTCATACCAAGGAAGAGAACTTCCTAAATGGCCCTGATGGGGTTGATGTCAGGTCAGTGCCAAGGCAGTGATAACTGTTAACAGGACCACACTTAGTCTTTTCAGATGCTTGAGATTCCGAGGGCTAAAATGAGGTTCAGCCTTAGGAAGCATAAGGTTCACATGACCCAACGTCTAGCATGCTTTCCAAATATCTGGGCACCGCCCCTCCCACTCTGCCCCAATCTATACGGCAATTACATTATAGTACAGCTATCCTTTTATAAACAAAAGAAGCATTTATCACAAGACAAATCTACATGGATCAATAAACTACTGTTGTATCTAACCAGAGCTTACAGGAGATCTGTCTATGAAATATATATCTTTCAGAAAAATAAGCTCTTGGGTAGAGCCATCAGTCATCTGCAAGCGCATATGAAAGGCGGGGACAGAGTTGAGGCCTGTGAGAAAGCTGCCTGACTATAGGGGTCAGTCCGTAATGCTCTGTAAATGCTCACAATTCAGAACGATGGTTGGAAGGGTCATTATACAAACCACTAAAAGACGTTATCCACACCTGCTTCAAAATCAGAATACCAGATACTCATAATGTTTTTTCCCTCCCTCAGACACTGTTATAAGCTCAGATGTCACCATAATTAAACACAACATCAACATCAAGAGAGTTAAAATAAGACACTATTTGAGGAAATAGAGGTTACACAATAAGATTGAGAAAACCCACTTCAGGGTTTACACTAATTCTCTATATGCCTGAATAGTTCCATTAAAAACATTTCTTCTCTTCCCGAAACCATGGATTAAGAAGGTAATTGGAGATGTGGGAGCCACAGTCTGGGCCAGCTTTATATACCATTCCACCTCTGCCTATCCAAAACCACCTTTCAGGGTGAACCTTGAACCTTGGAGGATAACAAAACTTTTTTACTCTGGAGAGCAAATTATGTGACAACTTAAGAGTTTAACTTAAAGCTGTTAAGATGCCTCTTCACAAAATTTCATTTACATAAACAGACTCATATAAAGCTGACTTGTTAGAGCTAGGACAACATACAAAAAATCTTTAGAATTAAAATACACATACTTAACATTTCTAAATCTTCTTAATCTTCACAAAATTATGAATTGCTACACCTGCATACCTGTTCTTGCTGTCATTACCATTTTCCCCGCAGGTACTTCATGGGCTCCACTCAACCTCTGTCTTGTTTTATAGGCAAATTCCAAGATCCTAGAGCAGCGGTTCTCAACCCGTGGGTCACGACCCCTTTAGGGGTCAAACGACCCTTTCACAGGGGTCGCCTAAGACCATCGGAAAGCGCATATATAATTACATATTGTTTTTGTGATTAATCACTATGCTTTAATTATGTTCAATTTGTAACAATGAAATTGGGGGTCACCACAACATGAGGGACTGTATTAAAGGGTCGTGGCATTAGGAAGGTTGAGAACCACTGTCCTAGAGTTTATTGTCTTTAAAAATAAAATTAGAGATAAAATATGAATAAAAGAACCAGTCATTGTGGCAAGCTGGATGCTGTTCCAGTGCGTCCTCACCTTCCTCGGATGGCCTTCTGCAGCACCTTCATGCCCGCCAGGCGGCAGGACTGCCCCTCCAACCGTCTGTCCTTAAAGATGGTGCCCTCTGAGTGCACTTCGCCGAACATTCCGTAGGCATCCTGCACGAGGAGGCAGACTCTACAAAAAAGCATTCACAGTTGTTCTTTCCTGGAACAGTCTTTGATTCAACACACAGATCAGGACAAATGAAGTTGAATTCAAACATGCACTTTCTAGATTTGTACACGCAGGCATTTGATCACTGTTTGTAAACTACAGAGACAGAATTTGCTTTTGGCATAAAACTAAATTCTAAGCAGAATGAGGTTTAAAAGCACATGAAGAAGGTCATCCTTTCAAATCAAACATATTACTGTTGCCCATGTATTATGGATAGAGCAGTCTCATATATTGTCTATTTAATTCTTCAGCTAAGGAAAGTGGGCATTATCACCTCCATTTGATAGATGAGGAAAGTGAGGGTCAGTGTGTTAAATGACTAGCCAAGACAGTAAGCAGGTCACAAAATCAGGTCTTAAACTGGAGGCCCCTGATTTTGACATTTTTCTGTGCCATAGCATCACATTACAGTAACAAGTTACAAGGATGCAGAAGAGTGACCAACTTAGCCTAGTGGAACCTGAGAGAGCACCCCAGAACAAGAAGCATTCCAGTCTCCAAGGGAAGCACCAAGCGGCAACAAGGAACGAACCAACGGCAAACTGCATAATGACCATAAAATCCGAATATCGAAATCTAATCTACAGAGAGGTCAGGATTTGTTCCAGCACTAGGCCAAACTATCCTATATAATAAAAAGCTAATATGCAAATCGACCGAACAGTGGAACGACCGGTCGCTATGATGCACACTGACCACCAGGGGTAGACGCTCAATGCAGGAGCTGCCCCCTGGTGGTCAGTGCGCTCCCACAGGGAGAGTGCCGCTCAGCCAGAAGCTAGGCTCATGGCTGGTGAGCTCAGTGGTGGTGGCGGGAGCCTTTCCCACCTTTGTGGCAGCACTAAGGATGACCAATTGATAGTTTAGGCTGCTCCCCTAAGCCATCAGTTGGACATCCTCCAAGGGCTCCAGAACTGTGAGAGGGCGCAGGCCAGGCTGAGGGACCTCCCCCAAGTGCCTGAATTTCGTGCACTGGGCCTCTAGTCCTATATAATAAAGAGCTAATATGCTAATTAGACTGGACAGCGGAACGACCTTCCGGAACAACCAGTGGGTGGGGAGCAGGGCCATGAGGCAGCTGGGACCGCAAGGGCCGAGGAAGCTGGGGCTACGAGGGCCTACCCTTGCACGAATTTCATGCATCGGGCCTCTAGTTTAAAATATAGTTATATATAAATTGTAAATAGTCAATAATGAGGCCACTTATCTAGAAGAACTTCACCCACTCTATAACTTTCAAAAGATACTTTTAAATGTTCAACAAGAATCATATCAGAGTAGTAAGGTCAGAATGTAAGTGATTTATGCTAAATTATAAAAAAAATAGGCTTTTAATGTCCCTTGAAAACAATTTAATTGGCCTATAAACTTTTCATACAAAATAAGCAAATACTGTATAATTTAATCAGAGACCCAAGTGGGAAAGAACAAAGAAGTGTAATAGAGGTAGGGAGGCATAGCATAGAAGGTTGCAGAGCCATGAGATAAGTTTCACAAGATACTTAATAACAATGGCACTTATGGATTTGTCACTGTGCTCTAAAGCAGTACCCTGGCCTTTTGGGTGTGTCTAGTGAATCTACGATCCATCTATTATGTGTTAAGTACAGTAGAACTGCCACTTGCGTAGGTCTTCAGCGAGGTCTAGGTATGTGCTAATGAGCAATCCTGCCCTCTGTACCTCTACAGGAAAAGAATAAACACAGATAAATACGCAATCACAAGTCGTGGTGGTGTGAGGAAGGAAATAAGCGGAGTGCCTTGAGAAACAACACTGGGGTGGGATACTCTATCCAGGGTGGTCAGGGAAGTTTTCTTAAAAGAGGGTGACCTTTAAGTTGAGTCCTGAAGAAAGAGAAGCCAATTATTAAGCAAATGGTTGAGAAAAAGCATTTACAACAGAGAAACCCTATGATAGAAAAGAGCTCTTCCATGTTTGAGAAATTGAAAGAAGGTTAGATAAGGTAGGGAAAATGGTAGTAAGATAAAGGACTAATATTTGGGGATTTCTTAATTAATTTATTAATTTAACCTTTATTTTTGCTGATTTCAGAGAAGAAGGGAGAGGGAGAGAGATAGAAACATCAATGATGAGAGAGAATCATTGATTGGCTGCCTCCTGCACATCCTCCTGGGGATGGAGCTCGCAACCCCGGCATATGCCCTGACAAATGGTGACCTCTTGGTTCATGGGTTGGTTGACACTCAACCACTGAGCCACACCAGCCAGGCTATTGTTCTTAATTTAAAATAAAAATTATATTTCTGGAAGAAAATTAAAATTTTAACAAGCATTTGTAAAGAAGGAAGAAAAAGGGATGAGGAGGGAAGGGACTGGTTGTGGGTGGCAATAGAGAGGCATCTTGGCGGAGCGAGTCTCATGGTTGGGCGTGGCTGGCATCTACTGATGTTCAACCGTGTGGGGGGTGAGGGCGGTAAAGGCCATGGTGAAAGGCCTGTGTAAGGAGGTGGACCTGACCTGGGCACCAGCGGTGGTAAATAACCAGCATCTGTGCCAGTCAGCACTGACCTCCTGCCGTCAAAGAATCAACAATGGGGTGACACTGAAAAGTTAGATGATATTTTTCTTTCAGAAATGTAACTCTTAGGACAAGGTAGAGGATGTTATGTTAAATTTCAACATATATTAAAAATTGGGTGATTTTACATAAAATTCAAATTTCCCATTGTTTTAAGAAACCTGGGTTCTAGGAGCACTAGGCCAACATCCCATGGATGAAGCGCCAGTTTGTTAATTCATCCCGTGGGCCCTCGCCCCATCCTCTGATCGCAGCCCTCACACAACTCCATCCTCTGGGCCTCTGTCGGCATGCAAGCACACACTGGAAACACTTCCAGGTCTCTGTCGGCATGCACGCATGCGTCGGAAACATTTCAAGGCACGATGGAAGAACACGGTCATGGATGATGCATGAGGGACAGGAAGAATCCATGCTGGCCTAAGATTTCTAAGGAGCTACATGGCAGTGGAGAATCAAGAGCTTGAGGGCAGGAAGCCCAGATGTGGACCTCATTTCAGAGACCACAGAAGCTGTGGAATCCAAAGGCTGGGCAAGCGACTTGAGCCGGGAAGCAGGCAAAGACGGAGGTGATTAACACGGAACATGGAAGTCCAAGCTGGTCAGCGGAGGATGGGACTCAAAGCAGGTGGCAGAAACGACGTAGGTGTGGAGAGGCGGGCGTCCAGCCCGGTTGCCACCACTGACAAACTGCGGCAGCGCTCTGGCTGACACTCCTCTCTCCTGCATGACAGGGGGTTATTCTCTGGAGGCCTTTTCCATTATTCTAATCTAAGGAAGATTAGATAATCACCTATCTATACAGGAGGCTGGAGTTCAGACACTAGAGGTCCCTGAGCAGACAGTGTAACAGCACTGTGGCCATGCTCAGCAGGACAACCATTTCAAACAAGCACTGTCCTTAAAAAACTTGGAAATATTGTGAACTTAGCTGCTAGCCAAGCCATGTGAAGGCTAGAATTGGCATTTTAAAGTTACGTGATGAGTCAGTGTTCATAAAATTAAGCTCCCACTTTGGAAAGCAGAATACCCATTGGACAAGGTGAAATGTACATTCGGTTAATAGCAAACTCTCCACTGCCAGTGACAGGCAAGCTAGGACTTAGGCTGCAGGCGGCTTTCCAAACTCCATGCAGCACCGAGCACTGTGGGTGGGACCCTGTGCCTCGTGTGGGAGGCACGCTGCTGCTTTTAGACGTGATTCGCTTAGATAAACGCTAGAACAGCAACGAGAAATGTCCTCTCATGAGGAAGTAGATGTCAGTGGTTAGAGTAAGAGCCTCATAACTGCATTCACTCCATGAGACAGAGTTTGCCATTCAAAATTCTTGGAATAACAGTTTGGCAAGTGAATGCCACTTCTTTAAGATCAATGTTGCACGCCTGCCTACAACACACACCCTCATCCAAATAAAACCCCCTCCCCTTTTCCTGATTTTAGGCATCTGGTGCAGGGAAAGGCAGCCGGCAGGAGAGGCTCTGTTTTGGGCTCTGCTGCTGAGGGATGTAGGCTCCTGGCGACCCGGAGACTGTACAAGCCAGAGCACTTTAAATTGCTTTGTTACAAATGGAATTAATTGACAAGGAGATGATTTTCCCTCGTGTGCCAGCTCGCTTGTGTCCGTAATGTGTACGCACTTTATAACGGGGGCAATCTTCTTGTGTGAAGGGGCTGAGAGGAAGGTGCTGAAAGCATGCCATCCCTCACAGAAATGAAACTGCCTGGTACGTGAAACCAGCCTGTGGTTGGCCTTCCCATGTTGCCTTCCTCATTCAGCTACTGCGATTGTGTTTGGTAGGTAAAGCGGTGAGTAATCATTAAAATACACAGTGTCTTCAGCTTGCCCCTCCTCCCAGCCAGCCATGCCCTACCCATCCCAGCTGGGAAAATAAGGCAGCAGACAAAAAGAAATCCAAGGGCACAGCATTATAGCAGAATCTCCTCTGTGTTAGCAACTAGGAACCATTCGGCGGGACTTTGATTCTATGCATTTCTGAGCCATGAGGGTGAGGCCTGCACCATGTTGGAAGAGCTGGCTAAAGTCAGTGCCAAATGAAACTACGTTCCACAGCACATTCCCAGCACATAAAATAATACAGATAAGAGGTTCACCATTCAGTCACCGTCTTATCGTGCTGGAAGTATAAAAGTCCATTATGGAGTTAATATTTGTCTTTAAGAATGTTTTTTCTTCTCTTACCAGCTTACTATCACATCATGCTAATCACAGAATACTTTAAAAAATTCTAAAATTACATGTATTGTTAATCTGTAAAAGCAACAGAACAAAGCACAAGGATTATGAAAAGTTAAACTGTTGATTTGTAGAGGGAGTTTTAGTGAGGGTATAATTTAATCTCTTTGAAGTTTTAAAAGCTCCTCCCCAACTTTCCGAAAAATACTCATTTCCCCTTTTC